TCCAATCTCCAATCTTGGAGTAATCTATCTAGAACAGCTTCTTCCTCCTCCAATAATATGTTCTCCACAGATCTTGTTATGGTTCAAAATTACCTTTGATGCTTACTGTTTTGTTAACGGTCTTCCATAGTAACTGCAAGTTACAAGAAGGCAGGAAACATTTTGTCTTGATCAATAACTGGCTTTTGTAGACGTTGTTATTAATCACTTTTCAATTGATTCTAATTCATGGAAACTCAATGCATGCTCACTAAAATATGTAATATTCATAGAAGGAATATAAGACATTAGAAAGGGAGGAAGATCAAAAGGTTCTACTTTAGGTCTAACTGAAATACCTTCTGCTTCCAATTAAGCCTATATTTCATGGTGTAGCCTTTAGCAGATGAGGATAACAACAATGCTAACTAATAAAATCTCCAACCAAAATCCTTTCATTTATTTAGAGAAAACTACTTAGGGAAGTTGGTGAGCAATGTATTTCATTTACCCTTAATATCTGTTAGGAGAAACAAAGGTGAAAATGCGTAAATAAATAAGATGAAACAAAGCTTGGGTTGATGATGACAGGCAAGTATGAGCTATTTTCTCTACAGAGCAGGAAGAACCACTGAACAAAAGAGAATATTTTAAATAAGCAACAAATTCACAAATTTAAGAAGAAAAAAGAAAAAAAAATTGGAGGGGGTGGGTAGGGAATGATTCTAAGAGAAAAATTGTTAGAGAGATTAAATGTTGGTAATGAGTCGTCGATAAAAAGGACAAAAGTTCCTAGACAACACTCTAGTAACCTGTCTGTCACTGACAGTCATCCTATGTTATCCAGTTCTCAGCTATCTAAACTCCACATTTGAGCTTTGCAGCAGGGACAGCTATGCAGATCTGGATTCCTTCAACAGGATATTTGATAGGGTAATAGCAATTGTTACAAAAACACATTTACTTAGACTACTCTAGCCCAAGCAATAAATGGACTGTTGTGTTTTCTTTCCTCAATCCCCAATGTATGTGTTTATTGGTCAGTAAGAAGCAGGTCCAAGAATGATTATGGATGAAATAACATGACAAAGTTCAATCATATGAAGCAGAAGTAAAATCATAAATCTAAGCAATGAAAATTTCACAATGACAACCCAGAGGTTGCTTCGCTCCATATTTTCATTATTATGACAGGAATATGAACATACTGGAAACACTTCTAAGGAAGCGACTGACGGATTTTTACTGTTGGTCTTTCATGTGTTGTATTTATTTGGTAAGGGGAAAAAAATCTGTAAAAAGAGACATGGAGAAAATGAAGTGTGTTTTGGTATTAAAATGGGCTGGAAACTGGAAAATTAAAGCCCTTTTGCTTTCTCATAACATTGTTGACAGTTTAATTTATGCAATCAGGGTGGCACTGAAAAGGGGTTCTTCCCCATCTCACCCCCCGCCCTGAAAAAATTATACAAGAACTGACCTGTGGGTGTCATTTTAAAAACACTTTACATTTGTAACAGTATGTTGTCTTTTTTGTTTGGGTTTTGGTGGGGATGCTGTTGTTGTTGCTGGGTACCATCAAATCAGAACTGACCAATCGTTGATCCTCCAGCAGATTTTCAGAGGCAAGGAGCCCTAGAGGCCTAGCGGTAAGAAACTGTACCACAACCTGGAAGGCATGTGGTTCAAATCCACTAGCTGCTCTGCAGGAGAAGGATGAACAATCTCCACCTGTACAATTAACTGCTTCGGAAAACCCACTGGAGGTTCAGCTAGGGGTCTGTTCTGACTTGATGGTTGGTGCTCAGCAACAACAACAACAACAATGATCACACAGGAGGAGATTGCTCATTCTTCTTCCACAAGCAGCTGACAGATTTGAACCTCGTGCCTTTGGGATTGTAGGGCAGATTCTTACCAATAGGCTACCAGAGACTCATAACATTACATATAGAAGAATATTTTAATATTTTATGCCCAAATGGTATGCTGAAAACTAGCGGAGAAGGATATGAAAGAGACAAATAGTGTAGGATGGCTTTGATGATGCGGGAGCTGCTTTCCCTAAGAAGTCAGTCTATACAGAGTGGATGGGCTCAACAGATTCTGTTTTTGTGGTGGTAGATATGGAGGGTGGGATGTGAGGCAGAAAGGTGGAGTGATTTTCTCCAAAACCTTCCCTGCCTACTCTTCTATACTCTGTTGATTGATCAGAGGTAGTTCAACATACAGATTAAAGGTAGTAGTTCACAGTTTGAGAGTGATTTCAAGGGTTATCAGCTTACAGAAAGTCAGGAGCTTGTAAACTTTTATTCACAGATGTTATTTTTGTGTTGGTGTCTATTTGTCACATTCTAACTCACTGCTGCTGTTGCTGTTGTTAGGTGCCATCAAGTCAACTAGAACTCCTAGCAAGTCAATGAAGGACAGATCCCAGTCCTGCCCTATCTCTCACATTCTTACACTGCCTGCCATGCCGAACCTCATAAGTGCCGGTCCATCCTGCTGAATGGCTTTCACTCTTTACTGAGCCCCAATATTTCGCAGCATGCTGTCCTTTTCCAGGGCCAGTGCCTTATAACAACTTGCCCAAAGTCATGCACATTCATTTACTTTTGTTAGTTTATGTGCAAAGAAGAGATTAAAGGTTTTCTCTCTGCTTGCTTCACAGAGGTAATTTGGAATTCAAGAAAAACAATATTATATGTGATGTATAGATCTTTGCAATTGCTTGCTATGTGTCAGAGAGCTGGACAATGACTAGGAATGATAGAAAGATAATTGATGTCTTTGAGCTGTGGTGCTGGAGAAGAGTATTGAATATACCAAGGACTGCTAGGAGAACAAACAGGTTCATCCTGGAGAGGGTGAAGCCAGGCTGCTCCATTAGACAAGGATTCTGAAGCTTCATCTGACGTACTTTTGACATGTGGGAAGGAGGGACCAGTCCTTGGAGAGGGATGTCATGCTTGGGAGGGTGAAGGACAGCTCAGGAGAGGAAGACCCTCTATGAAATGGATTGATTCAGTCACTGGGGTAATGGGACAGAATGTGTCAGAGACAATTAGATTGGCACAGGATAGAACAGGGTTTAGGGCTGTTGTACATAGGGTCACTATGAGTTGCAGGTGACTCGATGGCACAGTACAGCAGCAACAGCCTAACAATATATAATAAAAAAATAGTAGTAATAAATACACAGTTTCTATTTTTGTATACAGCTGAGTTTAAACCGACTTATAGCTGACCCTCCAGGGGGTTTTCAGAGGCAATAAATCGTACAGGAGAAGATTTCTCCCGTGGAGCATTAGGTGGATTTGAACCAAGTGCATTTAGGTTGGCAGTGCAACTCCTTATCACAAGGCTACCAAAGCTCCCTATAAAGTTTCCCGGTGGAAATCCTTAAGAGTTCTGCTAGTAACTAAACACTAAAGGTCAAACCCACCAGAAAGGCCTGGCTTCTGGTTCTGGAAGGTTAGTCCTGAAAACTTTGTAGAGTTCAGTTCTATTTTGCAAACACAGGGCTCCATGAACTGGAATCAACTTTATGGCAACAGTTTAGAAAAGAAAAAACAACATAATTCAAAATATCTTTCCTTACTAGCATGAAAACACGTTCTATTATGTTGTTGTTGTTGTTATGTGCCGTCGAGTCGCCTGTTCTATTATAGAAAGAAATAATGAGCAAAGCAGAAGAGTTGCAGATGAGAATGACTGTTATTCCACTAAGAGACTCAAAAATTGAGCCCAAACTCGTTGCCAATGGATTAGAACCAGTTCCTAGTTTCTGGTCAGGCGGGTTTCTGAGGTTGTCATTTGTGAAGAAGACTGTCCATCTTCCTATCTCAGAACCACCAGAGGATTCCAACAGCCAGAGAGGTGTGGACGTTGGGTTTGTAGGGCAAATCCTTAAGTGACTATGCCACCAAAGGAACTGAAAGGGAAACTACTGGGAAAGAAGATTCTTGCTTTTTTTTGGGAGGGGGCATTTTTAATTGGTTGCAAACCATGATGTCTCAGTATGCCTCTTTTTGATCATGACCTACAATGCTCTTGAACTGCGGCATTTGATAGTACATTTTAAGCTTAATCCAAAACTCTTATCACTCAAAAACCAGTCTCACAGGGTCTCCCCCTCATAATTAATCATTAATTAATATTTTAAAACTCAAGATTTAAATATTGTGAATATACTTCGAACACAACATTTATGTCATTCCTTTGGTAAGGAAACACCACTTATTATACCATAAAGTAGTTACATACTAACTAAAATTAAAGGAGACTACTAGTTGTCAGATTACATTGGCTCATCTAGGTCTTAAACCTGAGCTGAGAGTGAATTTCTTTATGAAGAATTATCAGTAAGTGAGAAAAAGGTGCTACAAATTTGACAGCCTCAAGCTGAGAACTTCTTTTGGACTCAATCAGAATATTATAAAAAATACTGAAAAGGTGGGGAAAGAAAACTGATACTATGTGATACAATGTTATTTTAGGGTCTTCTCTATCAACTAAAAATAGCTTGTCAGAGATCAGTAGAGTATAGCACAAAATCCTGGCACAGCTCTTCTCAATTGTAAGGCCAGGTCAAACTGCATCTGTTTAATCCTTTTAATTCCGTTTTCACAGATTGTTCAGTGAGATCTAATACATAGTTGCAAAATATCTCATAAGTAGGAATTGTTCTACATGTTGCATTCCAAATGTAATGTTCATTCAACTATATCAGGATGGTTAGCAATTCAGGAGGTAGAATAATAGAGGAGGCCAAAGGAATTATTCAGAGCAAACTTAGCCTACTCCCCTACAGTTGCAGGGGGTGGACAAAAACCCTCTAAGTATGCTAGCAATGTCTTGCACAAGAACATATGGCAAATTAGTGGGCAGAACAAAAATGATCTCTAGGGACTTGCTCATAAGTTTCCTGACCAGAAGACCATACCCCTTTCTCATAGATAAGAAACCGCAAACCTCAAACCAATGAAGCCTAACTTCTAGACGAGCCCCACAGGACTTACCTCCTGTTAGCATGAGGGCACATTTGCACATACAGTTGTCATTATCAGCATCTTTAGTGCTGAAATCAGCACCATGTAAGATCAGGCTGCTCTGTTTTCCTGCCGTCCCAGTGTGACCCTTTAAATACAACCTGGAGGTAAAAAAAAAAAAAAAGAGAGAGAGAGAGAGAGAAAGAAGATAAGCCATTCACCAGAATGACAGAGACCAGAAGGCTTGAGTCATTGAAGGCTAACCTTTTTCATCATTTTCCCCCTCATCTTGGAATTCAGCCATTCAAAAATATAAGACCACTATTATTAAAACAGGAACTAAAACCAAAACAAAACACAACCCAAACCTAAGGAAAAGTTTACACATATGTAGAATCAATGTTGGAGGGATAGCAGGAAGGGGAGGTAAGGGGAATGAAAATTAATAAATGGGGAGGGGACCTGAGACAAACAAAACTAAGACTCATATACTAAATCAAAAGTCATGAGGAAGGCCACAGAGAGAGAAAGGTAGAAATAAAAAGCTGAAGAGAGAAAAGGAAAGTAAGAACAAAAAGGGTCTAAATAACAAAGACATCAAATTCCCAATGGCTTGTGCTTTGGGCTCCGTTTACCATGCATGGGGGAGCCACCCAGTCGTGTGAAAAATGCAAGATTCACAGAAGGAGGAGTAGGAGTTTTGTTTATTAGTATACATATTAATCTTTAAACCAGAGTGACTTTTAGATTGTCAGTGCAGCATAAGTTACACAGTTAATATTTAATACCAGCTGATGTGCTAAATATTATTATTTATAGCAACACCAATAAGTCTTGTTGATTGAGGGCTTGCTCTGTGCCAGGTACTAGGTTAAATGCTTTCTGGCTGTTATTTCTTTTAATATTATGTTCCATCTGTGATACAGATATTTATATCTCCTTCTTCCAATTCTCAGGTGCCCTGCTGGCACAGTTAAGCACTGGGCGGATAACTGCAATGTTGAAGGTTCAAACCTACCAGCCACTCTGACATTGTGGGCCTCCATTTAGATTTACAGCCTTGGAAACCCTCTGGGGGAAGTTTATTGCCCTACAGAGACAGTTACTATGAGGAAGACTTGACCCAACAGCAGGGGGATTGCTCTTAGAGATGTCTACTGGCTGTTCCGTGCAAGAAAGATAGGCGTTCTCCTCCTGTCAATATTTACAGCCTCACGAACCTCATGGAGTGTCTTGATGAGTCAGAATCAACTTTACAGCAGTAATGGATAGATCTAGAAAGAGTGAAGTTTAGCTCTGTGATGTCAAGATTTCATCTCAATTAAATATTACCTAGATGTTTATTTTGTACATACTATCTACCTCGGATTATAGTCTAAGCACTTAAGATACATTGAGGATCCAAAATAGACACAAATGTATTTATTTGAGAGGCTTTGACTTTAATTTTTGTGTTGTGGTTTGAATCATCAAATTCAAAACTCATAGTGGGTTTAGGTACAACAAAACAAAATCCAGGCTCATCCTGCATCATTCCACTCATAGATGTCATATATTCTTATAATTGACAATCCCTGGTGGAATAACAGTTAAGCACTTGGCTGCCAATTGAAAGGTTGCTGCTTCGAATCCAACCATGGTCCCATAGCAGAAAGATAAAATATTCTGCTCCATAAAGACTGTTGTTGTTGTTGTGTACCACTGAGCCCGTTTAATTGCACATCTTCTCCAGGGAGCAGCTGGTGGATTCGAACTGCATTCCTTTGGGATTGTAGTACAGCCTCTTGCCACTAGGCCATGTGAGGCAGTTTCACTCTTTCATGTGGTGTCAATATAAGTCATAATCAACTTGAGGGAACCTAACAACAACTTTTTGCAATTAGATTAAAATAAAACAAACCAAAACACTACAAGTTACTTCAGTGGGGCTTGTACAGAATATTGAGTTAGCTCTTTTGAAGAGTGGTTCTGTCTACTTTCTGGAACTCCAGCAGATCATTAACCCTCCATGATTTTTTTTCTCTTTAACTCCTAGTTGTTGTACATGGTTTATCAATATTACAGATGGCTAAAGTTGAGTGAATCTGAGTTTGTATGACAGGAACTTGAAGTGTGAATCATTGGAGAAAATACTTCTCCCCATCTTAATCAGCAGAATCCTGAACATGCAATTCTTGTATTCAATCAGTGTAGAGGTAGGCTGCCTGAAGAATGATGTGTTTTCAGATAAAAACCAAATGCTCCCTCCAGAACAAAATGCTTGCTTTAAGGACAAAATGGAATATCTGCTCCCTAAGAAAGAAAGAAACCCTATGGAGACTACAAATGTGGTGGTGGTTAGGAGTCCTTGAGGCAACTACGACTCATATCTATCGTAGGAAGAACAGATTGAAACCTTGTGCTTTCCTGCTCTGTAATTACAATCTCCATCATGCTCAAGCCCGTTGTTTCAGGCACTGTGTCACTCTAGCTTGTGGAGAGTCTTCCTTGATGTTATTCCATTCTTCCCATAGTGACACCCTTTGCTAAGGACTGACCCCTCATGACAAAATGCCCAGAGTATGTGGGATGAAGTTTTACAGTCTGTGCCTCTAAGGAACAGCCCGGTTGTAGTTATTCCAAAACAGATTTGCTTGTACTTTTGATAATCCATGACTATTCAGCAGTCTTTGCCAACACTACAATTCAAAGGCATTGACTCAAACGAGTGAGTAACACAATTAGATGTGACCAGAAAGAAGCCACTACATGGACTCACAGTATTCATTCCTTTCAACCCATTTTTACTCATTAAGGAGAAAAATACGTAAGTAGTGTTGAGGAAGAGAACATTAGTCTGCAGCAAACTGTGCTTCTAATTCAAATGCTGTGTGTGTCTGATGGTTCAAATCCACCAGCGGTGTGGCACCGAAGTGAGGGCAGCCTCTGGAGCCAGATCGATGGTCACTCTGGGTCAGAATCTACTTGAGAGCGGTGAGTATGAATTTGAGCATTTGATACAATGTTCGAGGAAAGTCAGCATTTTTTTAAAAACAGATATCAACATCTTAGGGAAAATAATAAAAATAAGATGTATATTAAAATTGTTCATAATTCTCCAGTCAACCTTGATAAAAAAAAAACATAGCTGTGTCTTTTCCTTACCTTTCAGAAGTCTGAAAACTAGAAATAATTGAATCATCATATTTCAGGAAAATAAGATAATGTGAATTCTGTCACTGAAGAATAAACTTCCCATTTAGGGTCTCCACATATCACCTGTGTGGATGTATAACACTTGCTTTCTTTAGTCAGCACAATCTCTTTAGTCAGACCAATCTCTTCAGTTAACAAAAGTATCCATTCTCTCATTTGATTTGTTAACTAAAGAGATTGTCCTACTCTTCACATTGTTGAATCTTTATTTTATTGGGAGAAGCACAAGTCTATTTCATTACACAAGGTTTGAGAGTTATATGTCTGACAGATTGAGGTTTGGACATGGCTCTTTTAAACAGTAGACAGACTCTTAGATACCTGAACTTTAATCCCAGGTGCTAATTAAACTGTGTAGATTTCTACTTGGCTCTGAGCTCTCCCCCTACCACCTTAGGAAACAAATTTGTCTTTCTCACTATTACTTGAAGAAAATGCAAAAGGATGCCCCTCATTTTCTTTCAGACTTTGGGAGAAATATTGCAATCTAATCTAGTTTCCCAACACTGCTACACCTATTGGTTACTGCCACTGCATGGGTCTTCATGATCTCATTAAGACATCAGATTTTGCAACAAAGAAAGATTTCAAAGACCCTGACAGCATTGCTTTTATGAGACTATAGAAAGAGGAAATAATGGCTCAATTACCATAGACATCCAGAGTGAAAGCATTTGCTTGGCACTGAAAGGACTTCATTGGAAGGTGTACTAATAATCAGCATTTTAGGATATTGGGAGGAAACATTTTTAGAGACAATGTACTGTCTGAAAAGTTTATTCAAGGAGATTTTATTTGGAAGGAGGACAGGGACTTTTGGAGAGGGATGAGGAGGATATTTTCAATAAATAAACGTGTTGTGAAATTGATATAACAAATTTTTTATTACGTAATAAGATAAAAGTGATTACAATAACTCATTGAATATGTTGGAAGTATACATTGAAAATATATAAAATTATATATTTAGCATCAACAACCTGTATTATGTAGATGGCACAACCCTGCTTGCTGAAACTTAGAAGGACCTGAAGCACTCACTGTAGAAGGTCAAGGACTGCAGACTCCTATATGGATTGAAGCTTAACACCAAGAAAGCAAAGATTCTCACCACTGGGCCAATTGGCAACATCAGTATGGATGGTGAAGAGATTGAGATAGTTAACAGTTTTAGTTTACTTGGATTTAGAGTCAACACTCTTCATATCAGCAGCCAGGAAATCAAGAGACAAATTACACTGGGAAAGTCAGCTGTGAGGGACCTCAGGCTGGAGACTAAGGTGTGCCAGATCCAGGCTATAGTCTTCTCAATTACGTGCTATGCATCAGAGAGTTGGACAGTGAATAGGGATGATAGAAAGAGGATTTATGCCTTTGAGCTGTGGTGCTGGAGAAGAGTGTTGAATACACCATGGACTTCTAGGAGAACAAACAGGTTTGTCCTGGAGAAAGTGAAGCCAGAATGCTCCTTGAAGTCAAGGATTCTGAAGCTTCATCTGACATACTTTGAGCGTGTTGTAAGGAGGAACTGGTCCTTGGAGAGAGACATCATGTTTGGCAGAGTGAAGGGATGGCGCAGGAGAGGAAGACCTTCGATGAGATGGATCGATTCTGTGACTGGAGTGGTGGGAACGAGTGCATTTGAGATGGCTAGGCCATCTACAGGATAGAACGGCATTTAGGGCTCTTGTATCTTGTACATAGGGTTGCTATGAGTTGCAGGCGACTCGATGGCACATAACAACAATATATTAATATATGAGGGAGTTCTCAAAGATTAGTGTTAAGGAGTTGTGCTGCCAATTCAAAGGCACGTGGTTAACATCAAATTTCAATTGGAGTTGGTATGTCAGAATCATTAAGACTGGCTCAGGACAGGACAGGATTCAGAGCTGCGGTACATAGGGTTGCTATGGGGCACAGGCAACTTGACAGCACATAACAATAACAAAAACAAATCAAAATA